CACTTGCCCCAGAGTCTCTATTTATACCTTGTGGTTAATAGCCACTGATGGACCTCTGCTCCATATGCTTATCTAATTCCCTTTTGAAGCCGTCCATGCTTGTAGCCGCCACCACTTCCTGTGGCAGTGAATTCCAAGTGTTAATCACTCTTTGGGTGAAGAAGTACTTCCTCTTATCCGTTCTAACCCGACCGCTCAGCAATTTCATGGAGTGCCTATGAGTTCTTGTATTGTGAGAAAGGGAGAAAAGTACTTCTTTCTCTATCTGCTCTTTCCCATGCATAATCTTATAAACCTCAATCATGTCACCCCTCAGTCGTCGTTTCTCCAAGCTAAAGAGACCTAAGCGCCTTAACCTTTCCTCATAGGGAAAGTGTTCCAACCCCTTTATCATTCGAGTTGCCCTTTTCGGCACTTTTTCCAAAGCTATAATATCCTTTTTAAGGTGTGGTGACCAGAATTGCACACAGTATTCCAAATGAGGTCGCACCATTGATTTATATAGGGGCATTATGATATTGGCTGATCTGTTTACAATACCCTTCCTAATAATCCCCAGCATAGCATTGGCCTTCTTTATTGCAGTCACACACTGTCTCGACATTTTCAGTGAGTTATCTACTACAACTCCAAGATCTCTCTCTTGATCTGTCTCTGCCAGTTCAGACCCCATCAATGTGTATTTATATTTAGGATTTTTGGCTCCAATGTGCATCACCTTGCACTTGGCCACATTGAACCCCATTTGCCATGTTGACGCCCACTCGCCCATCCTTGACAGATCCCCTTGGAGTGCCTCACAATCCTCACTGGTTTTCACCACCCTGAACAACTTTGTATCATCCGCAAATTTAGCCACTTCACTGCTTACTCCCATCTCCAAATCATTAATGAACAAGTTAAAAAGCAGTGGACCAAGTACTGATCCCTGCGGTACCCCACTGCTTACCCCCCTCCACTGAGAGAACTGCCCATTTATACTCACTCTCTGTTTTCTATTAATTAGCCAGTTTTTGATCCATAAAAGGACTTGTCCTTTTATCCCATGATTTTTGAGCTTACTTAGGAGCCTTTGATGAGGAACTTTATCAAAAGCTTTCTGGAAGTCAAGGTAAATAATATCTATTGGATCCCCCTTGTCCACATGTTTGTTCACCCCCTCAAAGAACATTAACAGGTTAGTGAGACAAGATCTTCCCTTACAGAACCCATGCTGAGTCTGCCTCAATAGGTTTTGTTCATCTATGTGCCTACTAATTCTTTCCTTAATAATGGTTTCCACCAATTTACCTGGTATCGACGTCAGACTGACTGTCCTGTAATTTCCCGGATCTCCTCTGGAACCCTTTTTAAAGATGGGAGTGACATTTGCTACCTTCCAGTCCTCAGGAATGGAGGCTGATTTTAAGGAAAGATTACATATTTTTGTCAGGAGATCCACAAGTTCACATTTGAGTTCTTTCAGAACTCTTGGATGTATGCCAGCTGGGCCTGGTGATTTATCACTTTTTGAGTTGTCTATCAGTTTTAGGACCTCCTCTCTCGTCACCTCAATCTGACTCAGGTCTTTCAACACCCCTCCCGAACTCAGCGGTTCTGGAGTGGGCAAGCACTTCTCATCTTCCACAGTGAAGACGGAGGCAAAAAATGCATTTAGCTTCTCAGCCAGATCAGTATAGTGCAGATCAGTATAGTGCAGCTGCCATGATAAAAGGCAACAATACTTAGAAGTGTTAATGTACTGCAGCCAGTAGCAAAACCAGCAATCAGTGAGTAAGATAAATTAAAACCAAGGATCAGATAAATTAAAACCCTGGTGGTCTGTTGCAGACCCATGTCAATTACATGAAATGCTCAAACAGCACTAACTCCCATCACATCTCACAAACAATAACAAACTGTTAATGTGTATTAGGAGAGACAAACCTCCCACAAGAAATTAGGGACAATGTAGACAAAAGGCAGTGGTGTTAATGCTATGCCATATAGAAATCAGCATGAATTCAGAAACTGGGGGTAGTGAGAGATGGAAAACAGAAATTCAGTCTCTTCCTTCCTGACCTTCGTACTATACTAATGAACAAACAAAGGAATGCTGAGGACAGAAAGTGGGGCTCCATATGTAACACAGTTAAAAGAGAAAGAAGCACTCACAAAATTCATAAGTACACCTGTGAGTATGCAAACGAAAGAGAATATACTTCTGTTCTCTCACACTGACCATTTGGTGATATGGAAGTCATACCAAATGGTGATATGGAAAGCAGTGTTACAGAAAAGAAATTCTAGAGATTAAACACAGATCAATTCAGTAAAATAAGGACAATAATTAATTCTGTAGAGATCTAATCTTTATGTTTCACATTTTCTGCCATAATCAGCAAATCTTTCTAATGTAGAAAGTGATGAGGAGTAAATATGCCTTTGTAATATCAGGATGACAATCCTAAGCACACTCACCAGGAAGTAAATCCTTCTTTTAATTACTTCCAAGTAAACATACTTGAAATCAGGAGATAAATATAGAACATACTCATACTACTTGACAGCCCAAATGATCCAGAATAAGGATTTCATAGCTGGCAAAAGAAGGCTACTTGCATCACGGTGCTGGAACTTCAGCTGAGTATCCTTGTGATGGCTGAAGTACCAGTTCAGTCCCTACACTGTCCAACTGAATGAAGGAGAAGACAGGGCCACGATTGGCATAGTGGCTAAGATACTGCACCATTAGTGGCAAAGAGACTTAAACTAGTGTATTGGCTGGAGAGCTGTACAGACATTCAGTTGTACATACACTGAAAACACATGAAAGGAAACAGATCACACCCACTGAGCCTGCCCCCCATGCATTCAGTGGAACATTTACAATAAGCGCTACAGTTGTATATGCATAGGCTCTTCCATACAGTCAGACCCTGATCACTTGTACAGAGCTTAAGTATATGAACTTAAGCACAGGACTTCAAGCAGATGTTGCAATGAATACAAAGGGGAGCAAGCAGATGCAATATCATTCCCTCTACAGGTATTTATCATATGTATAACTAAACATCAACGTAAGAACATACGAGAAGCCAATGATGGATCAGGCCAATGGCCCATCCAGTCCAAAACTCTGTCACACAGTGGCCAAAAATACCACGTGCCATCAGGAGGTCCAGCAGTGGGGCCAGGACACTAGAAGCCCTCCCACCATTGCCCCCCCCAAGCACCAAGAATATAGAGTATCACTTGCCCCAGACTGAGAGTTCCTATCTTAAGCCTAAGAGGCTGAGCTATGAAAGACATGCTATTCCAAATCTCTCCTCTAGAATGAAGTTACTGAGTGTCCTTAAATTAGTCAGTCTCTTAGCCTCAACCCCCCACAACAACAGGGGAGTGAGACTGATTTACCTTCATTAATTCCTTTAAAACATCTCTTCAAAACATGTGACCAAGCAGATCACAACATACAATACATCAAACCAATATCAAACAAAATTCAAAACCATCCATAACAACTAAAATATCAAAAGACAGCTACAAAAGACAAGAACACGAAGAAGAAGAAGAAGAAGAAGAAGAAGAAGAAGAAGAAGAAGAAGAGATTAGATTTATACCCCACCCTTCACTACCCAAGGGAGTCTCAGAGTAGCCTTTCCCTTCCCCCTCCGTGAGGTAGGTGGGGCTGAGAGAGCTCTGACAGAAACTGCTCTTTTTCAAGAACAGCTGTGTCAGGACTATGGCTTGCCCAAGGTCATCCAGCAGGTGCAAGTGGAGGAGTGGGGAATCAAACCTGGTTCTCCCAGGTTAGAGTCTGCGCACTTAACCACTACACCAAACTGGCTCTCTACCGTGCCAACTAAAACAAGAGTCCGTTAAAATCATAATGCAACCTAAAGCCAAAATAAAAGGGGGGGGGGGGTTAGGGTTAGGGAAATATCAGGCTTTCAGCCCATGCTCTTGCTACTGATCCTGATCACTGTTTTGCTGTATGTAGTTCCTTTCAGGACTACATCTCAGTCAAGCCCAGGAACAGGTATGACTTCTCTCCTTTCAGGTATTTGAGGTCCAGGCAGAGAAGAGGGCCTTGCTATTTAACCAATTCACAGGGACCAGTATGTCTGTCTCAAACTTGTGAACTTGTACCTAGCAAACCCCAGATTCATTATCTAGACCTTAGTGCTGCCCTGAAATGCAGGCCCCAGTCTCCAGGTACTGTGTGGATCCCAGCTCTGGAGGATAATTCAGCCATCTCCAGGACACAGCTGCTTAAGACAAAACAAGGACCAGCAGAACAGCCCTGAATTACTTTTATTGATGAACCCATTATTTTAGTAGCGGGGGAAAGAAAGAATTTTTCAGTAAAGGGGGGGGGGCAGCAGATGTTTCAGTTGGCTACTGTAGGATGTCACTTATTTGCACCAAAGCAGCTAAAATAGCAGTATTGATCTCTATGTCAAACAGGCAAATGAACAGAAAACATAGAAACAGAGCTGTAAGGAATTCCAAGGGTCATCTAGTCGAACCCCCTGCACAAGGCAGAAAATTCACAGCTACCTCACTCCCCACATTCCCCCAGTGATTCCTGCTCTATCCTGACAAGCTGTAGCCTGTGAGTGACCCACAAAAGCTCATATTAAAATAAATGTGAGTCTTTCAGGTGTCATTAGGTCAAGGAAATCATGTGTGTGAATAAAAAAGATCAAGTATCTGAAGCATTCAATAAAAGGTGTTGTGATAGAGGTCTGTTTTTTTTAAATATAAATCAACAACATACCCAAAATGTAACTACAGAGTTTACCCCCACTGAAAATAAATGAAATTAGTCTTTGGTAAACTTGAAATCACTATTAAAAATGTAAAATCATAAGAAATTATTATTTGTATACCACACAAGTATGTATTATTCAAGCTTCCTTTTTAAAATGAAGTATGTAGAATGAAATGTTTTACAATAAAAATGAACCCATTACCTATTGGCCATAATCTAAAAAGCCACTGAGAAAAAATCTTACCTTTTTCACTAACACTTTCACTTTCAATCTCTACATCATCGCAGCTGGTATATTCTGGAGTAGAGGCCAACTCTTCTTCTGAGCTGCTCAGTGAAACCTGGCGCATTTTACCCCCCTTTTTTGTTTTATGAGGCTTTGGTGGTGGAGGCCTAACTGATTCAGATTGGTCTGAACTTAGTGAATCATTCCTTAACATGGTTTCCATTTTTTCACGTTTTGTTTTTCGTACAGCTGAACTGGGATCTAAATGGTGCTGTTTTCTTAATGAATCAGTCCGCCTTAAATCTGGCCTATCAAAAGGAATTGGACTCCTCCTGGGTGTTGGAGGGCTGTGATTTGTGGTCCTCTGACGATTGGGACTTGGTCCCTGAGTTCTTTCCATTGAATATGAACGTTGGTCCATGGCAGCTCTGCGTTCAGATGCAGACCTTTGCCTTGATGGCCGCTCCATTCTTATCATAGATATCCGGGAATCTTCCAGTTCAGTATTTGCCAAAGACACATCACTGTGCCTTCGTTCATGACGTGCTCGAGACACTTCAGCATGAATGCGCATTTGTTCCTCATATGGTTGTGGTTTGACAGGATAGCGAGCCAAATTAGGATCACTTCGGTATCGTGCCTGATACTCCTCTTCCTGCCGCTGCCTCTCATATTCCTCTCTGTTCTGCACAACATCTTCTTCTAAAGGGTATTCCCTTGAACGACTGCGACTTCTCCTGTTAGAATCTCTGTAGTCATCAAGTTCAGGTTCTTCATATAACTGAGACCCACGCTGCGATCGCCTGTCTGTATAATCTGATGGTGACCTTGGCATTGCACTGTCTGATGTTGCATTCTGTGAATAGTCGTCTCTCCCCTCCCGTTGGCTGTACCTTCTGTTCTGATCTCTTGATATTGATGGGCTTCTTTTCCTAAGTAACCAAAAACAAGAGGAAGGAAAACTTGTAAACATTTCCAATATTTAAAGCATATCTTTTACAACTAATTCAGAAATTACTACTGCCCAATGGAGATGAGCACTGCCCCCGAGAGTTGGATTCGACTAGCTTTTGAGCAAGGGGAACCTTTACCTTTACATTTAATGATTAAACTACAGTCATTTTACTAGCTTTCTAGTAGCCTGATTCAAACTTACTCCAACTGAAATCCATGGCCTTGTGAAGCTGCATCTATTTTTTTTCCAAACAAAAGCAATTTCTATAGAAGTCTGATATTACATATATTAAAACCTGTCTCAAGGAACCATGTTGTTACTTCTACTTCCCCGATCAAAAGAATGTTTAAAACTGTGATTTGTGAACAATGTAAATTATTCAGAGAGCACTTTTAGTGTTAACTTTTTTAAAAGTGTAATCCGCCATTCATGAAATTCTGTTCCAGATAAAGGTAAACTATTTTATCCCTCATAAGATTTTCATGGTTGACCATCAACACCACCACAAAACGGGCAACCAATTAATATCAGTAAAATTCTTAGACACCCAATCGCTTAACATTAATGGAATGGAGCTGAGCCAGCACGTGTTTATGGCAACTTATGCAACATCATAATAGCAGTGTTTAATCCATACCCTATCTCGAACTCATTGTGGTTCAGTCTCGCTTTGTTTCATCTTAAAAATGTTATGAAGTTATGTTGTGCTGAGGTGGCTTGATAGTAAGTTCTGTCATTGAACTAAGATTTCATCCTAGTTTTCTCTGATTCAAAAACTATTAATATAGCACTTTTAATATGTCAAGTACTGAACAGTCTGTCACAGCCTGCAGGACTGGCCCAGAAGTTTTTGGCACCCTAGGCAAATGATGACTGGTGCCTACCTCCACATGTAATATTTGATAGTTTTATTTATAAGAGAACATTAAAAAAACCACAGTAAAAATTCAGTCCCATCTAATTTGGCATTCCATAAAATACAGCACCCTAGACAACCACTTAGTTCATGTCTATGGTTGAAGAGCCCTGATTGCTGTATAGTTCCTTGATGGAGAAGAATCAGAGAGGATGCAGGTTTCTAAATAGTGAAGATATGCTGGATGCTTCAAACACTAAATCAGGAGTCATGGTTGAAACACACCTCATCATTCTCCAAACCTAAAGAATGCATTTTAGTAACAAAGCTTCCCCAGAACTTGACCATACCTGTGAATTCATCCTCCTTGACCAAGGATGCTGCTCTAGTTTCTAAATATTTTTTAAAAATATTTTGTATTGTTATCTATAACCCTCAGAGACTCCTGTTATAGATTATGCCAGAAGCTTTGCATTTATGCCAGAATGCATGCCTAGCCAAACTAAACATCATTCCTTTAAAAGTGTGGTTATACAGGAGATCTACAGGCCTGGTGTAGCTCCCTGTTATTTGAGTTCAGAATGCATGTCTAGCCAAACCAAACAAAGTTCCTTCAAAAGTATGATAACAACAGAGAACTACAGGCCTGGTCTGGTTCCCTGCTGTTTCAGCATTTGGCTGTGCTTGGCCAACATGGTAGCCTCTGTATCAGCTCCTGCCCATAATAGATGCATTTCTTTCCAGCCAAGCATTTTCAAAAGATTCACCTACACTGCCTTTGTCCTGAGGTTTAACTGCCTACCTTCATAAAGTATCTGAAACCTACAGGGTTCTGCAAGGTCTACAACCCAACATGATCCAATTAGTTATATTTGTCCTCTTTAAGGAGGGTCACTATTATTACTATCTACAGATAAAGAAATTAATCTGGGTTGAATCCTCCCAGCTTTTTCATTGAAAAATACACAAAAACACACACTGACCGCTGAAATGGCTATGCTGAGGATCATGCGACCCACATAAAGACCATATGAGATGGGGATGGCAGTGTGGAAGAGACAGGGTTGCCAACCAGTGGGATATGGGAAGCACAGACATGGGGAGTGGCTGTCAGTGACAGCTTGACATCACTTCCACCACATGTCTTTAGGAATTGGCGAAACGTCTATGGTAAAATCATAACATTTCTAGTGATTGCTAGAATGGACTGATGTCACCTCCCTTTTTTTCCTGGAAGTGATGTCATGCGGTCGGTTGGCTATTTTTATTTTTTCCCCCTCTTGCTGGTACTTGGAGTGGTAGTCAGAAATGAGAACCAGGGACAGAGCATTCCCCACCCCCAACAGAGGGGCTGGCAAACCCGGAAAGGGAGTCAAGTGAGACTGGGTGGAAAAGGTGATTGGAGCCAAGCCTTTGGCTTGCCCATTAGTATCTAGAGAATCCATGGCAGAGCAAGGATGTGAACATAGCCTACTAGGTCCATAAGGCCATATCTCATTATGTATATGTACTTAATTCCATCTAGAAATTCCCAACAAAAAATTATATCAGTAATAAAACTGTAATAAAAGTTTTACAAATTATTTAAGCAAATAAGTTACAGGTGTTGCTGTGATAATTAACTTTATCATAGTTTTAAAAAATAAGATCAATTTTAAAACATTATTTCAACAAAGAATTCATGTTATGAACTAATTGTCAATGATGGAACTGGATTTTCAGGAAGAAATAATTAAAATGTGCAGTAAAGATGTAGGAAAAAATATGTATGTAAAAAACACAAATTAGAAAAGGTTACATAGAATCAAGGTGTCCACCACCACCCCAAAAACCCATATTGCTTGCATTTTATAGGTTTACTAATTGGCTGCCCCCCCAAAAGCTTGACCAGTGAGATTTTTTACTTTTAAACCACAAACTCTCATGCCATATTACAAGTTACTTTTGAAACTTTCCTCACTTGCAAAACATGAGGAACTACTTTTTGAGAAGAATGCAAGTTCATGCTCCTTGGGTATGAGGAATTAGGTAAAGGTTTTTGACCCAGGCCAAAATAAATGAATATTTGCTTACATTCACAAATAAAATGTAATGTAGTAGTTCAATAACATCACAGAAATATAACTGCATGTATATAATATGCTTTTCTGTTATTTCAAAATAAAATGTTGTGTTAATTCAAAGTAAAATACTCGTTCGTTGTAGATTTTCCGGGCCGTGAACTCCGGCCATGAAAGCCTTTGACAACATATTAAAATACTCATTGTTCCACTATTCAGAATTTTTTAAAATTAGAAGTATTCTAAAGGAGGCAGCAGTGTAATGCACTGAATATCTCTAACTGAAAGACATTATGAGTCATAACTGAAACCTTATTAGTATGTCAACATTACAGTGCTCAGAAGAAATCATGTATTTCATATTACTGCTTTTATATCATCAGTATTTCTATGTAATGTATTTTGGAACCTCTCTCAAAACCAAAAACTATTTGTTTTATCTTTAGCAAAATTATTATGCACCAAATATAATACAAATAGAGTATTTTATTTAGCTAAGTAGATAAAATGAGTATTACGTATCTGCTATTTAACTGTCCATGTAACATCTATACAGAACAATAACATCTCATGTGGAATACCTTGCTTATTTTGATTAACAGAACAAACAAAACTATGGTATGAATTTGAGCACACTGAACTGTTCAGCAGCACTGTGTGGTTTTTAAAGACACCCCCCACACATTCTGAAAAACAACTATAAAGTGGGTAAATGTATGATGTTCTGTTTACAATTCTAAAATTTAAAAAAAATCCTGATAACATAAAACAAACACCTGATCATTACAAAGTATTCAATGTGTACAATATAGGCAATTAAATTTTAGAAAGGAATGTTAATTTTAACCCATTACTTTAATAAATCTATGCATTTCTTTCCTCCTTTACCTTTTGATCAGCCACTGCACATCTGGGAAGTCAGGAGCATCATGTTCCTGAGAATGCATCAATTTCTGTGCAGTCTAGCACTTCATTTAATCCTTGTAGCTTTGAGAAAACCATGTGAAATGTCACTTAAATAGGAGTACAAACTTTCAAATAATTTTGTCATGATCCTTTCCTCATCTCAGATTACAAATTATAATGCATTGAAGGAAAAGATGTGCGATATAAAACAAAATGAATAGTTATTTGAGCATGAAGGCTGCTGCTCTAACGGAGAACCCGAGAGGAGGGTTACCGGTTAATGCTGTTATCATGTGCTGTATATAGCTGGAGGTCAAGTAAGTATTTACCCTATAAGGAGGATTATGGTACTTAGCTGATTAGTGCCCTGTTCCAGTAGTATTGCCTGCAAAATGCATATCACCATGCATTTTAAACAGTTCAAACATTGTCTAGCTTTAATAATATATTTAAAACACAGATTTTTAAGACAAGTATGTAGTATCTTACACTGAAACATGGTAAATTAAGAATTGTTGAACTGGTGAAGTTTGTGCACATTTTTAAAGTTTCTTTCTAAATTATCTATTATACCTTGAACATTTATCAAGTTACAGTGCAGTCCTGAACAGAGCATTACTCTTCTAACTGCACAGAAGTCAATGGGCTCAGAGGATGTAACTCTGTTTAGGATTATTACTGCTAGAGTCATTTTACAGAACCAGGCAAGCATGACTGTTGACCTTCACAAGTACATAAAAATAAAGAAATATATGTGCCTAGCATTCCCTGCTCTAAACCTAAAACTTGCATTCTAATATTATGTTCAGAAATATTTGCTCTGCAGACATTGAGATCTATCCAGTGAAAAGTCTCATGAAGCACAGTATCTGAAAACGTTAAATTTCATTTGGGTGCAACACTGGTCCCAAAGTGATTCTTGCAAAAAATATTTCATTTATGGCAACTTTGCTCATTATTTCTTGGGCTTATTTACGTCTGAAATGTGGCAAGTGGTATATAGACAGAAGCATTTTCAGAACATTAATTGTGTACTCTTAACAACCCAGTGAAACATATCTGGGATACTCAACATATGCTCTTAAAACACCAGCCCTGTATTATGTGTTACTAGAGATCTGTGTGGCTGACTGCAAATGCATCTCTGCTTGATGT